ACAGAAGTAAATTTAGCTTTTGCCAAATTAGAAGAAGGTTATGAAAATGCATTAAAAGAATATAATAAAAAACAAGTATGTTATTAAGAAATGATGAATTTTTTAAAAATAAATTTATTACATTATACAGAATATGCTATGATGAGAAACATTTTCATAGATCTTGTTATCAATTCATAAAATTAAATGGAAAGCATAAATATTTTGAAGTTTGATCATTTGAACTAACTTTTTATGATACATATCTTCAATATTATGTATGGTGTAATATATTAAATTTAAATATAAATAAAAGTTAATATACAAGATATAAAATGACTTCCAAACTGCTTACAGGTTAGATGGCATGCTTTCATTGGCAGGTTTGGATGTGCAGGGTTTATAACACTATAAGCTGATGTGTATTGTACACCATGCAGTAACTTTCAGTTATACATAGGAAATTACAATATTGATGATATAAGAGTCTTAAAATGTTGTTATTTTTTTTTTAGTAAACTTTTTAATAATGCAGCGTTTTATATGAAGGGTACTTTTTAAATGAGATCTGTTTTTTAATAAGAAGAAAAATACTGTAAATATCATTAAAATATATTTTTATCTACTTTTATCACTTTTATACATAATTTCCATTTTTATTCAAGCATATGTCATACCACTCAACAATTTTTTGAATTCCGACTTCAAAGAAATCTGACACCTGCCACTGGAAGACAGTAGGCCATGCCGTTTGTTTTGTATGGCATGCCGGAGTTTTCTCAAGGTCATACAATATGCATCAGAATTGATTGTTGTGCCTCTTGGCTTAATATTTCCTAACAAAACCCCTTTCCTGTCCCAAAAGACAGTTGCCATGATCTTTCCTGCTGAAATTGAATAACAGATTGTATCTCACAGTTGGTGGGTAACTTAATTTTCTTAAACATTATAAACTTCTACAGCTCAGCACGTAGCCATACAATACAGCTGCAAATAGCATCTAAACACACACGAAGCATGCTGAGAGCAGACGCTCATGCATACTGCTGCGATCGCGTGTCATTCTCACTCTCATTCACAAAAGGACCTTATTTAAAAAATAGCCCTCATATATAGAAGAAATTAAATTTGAAAAATTTTTATGAGTCTTTAAATGTTTTATTTTTGTAATTGATACTGATATGAAAAGCTTCTATATGTTCTTAATGATTTTTTTAAACATTTTTAGACATTATTTTCTCTTTAGAGCTCTCATTTTTTTTATTTTATAGTTATAAAATACTTTATACATATTACAATTACAAAACATATTCTTTACAGTCTAAAAATCTTATTCTATGAAAAGCAATTAAGTTATTTTAAAATAATATTTAATTTTTAAAATATTAATATAAAAATATTACTTTAACTATTGTATCTAACATAAATCAAGCAATTTTTAATCTAAAATTTGGTTTAAATAATTTTATTGAAATTATAAATGGTTATATTTATTTAACACATTTGTTATATAAAGAAATTTTTGGTTTTTTTCCCTGAAACATTTGTGCTATTTGTCAGATGCTGTGCATTTACAATTGGTTTTAGATCACAAAGATGATATTTATGATGAGTTTGATTATGATAGGCCCTTTTTTATGTCTGCACTGTTGAAGGTATGTCAATCAAGAAAAAATAAATGCAAGATGTATCATGCGAGAGTAGCTTAACGGGAACACACTCTGTATTCTGTTCTACTCCTGGCAAGAAAAAAACAAAGGTACATAGAGAGAGCACCTACTCTTTGTTCTTTTAAACAATAAAGTATTGTTTTTCCATCCCTATAGAAATAGATTTAGTTACTTTTTATAAAATATATTCAATATGCATGTGATACAGTATATATGAAAAATATCAACATATAAAACCTGATAGTTATATATTAAAGCCAAACCAATGCCAGATTATATCAGGCTATATTACCACTACTGTTAATAATTAAATTCTAAGCAACTGTTATACATGACAGTTTGTTATTATACCCTAAAATTTTTCCATCATGTACCATTTGTGGCTCACACTAAAAATAAATACAGTAAGACCCCACTTAACATGGGGAGATGCATTCCTAGACAACAAAGCACTAAACGAAACAGCTTTAAATGAGGTCATTTTAACATAGTAAATAGGTATAGGGGAAAATGCAACCAAAAATAAACAAATTTTAATAAATATAATCGAAAACGTTTTTATTTTATTAAATACTTCGTTGCTGGAAATATTAAGGTGTTTGATTATTTTAAACAAATTTTACTTTAATTTTAAGTTATTCTTATATTAATTTGCATAATAATAATATATGTTAAATAACACATAAACATATGCACACAGAAATGTATAATAATATATTAGTTAGTTTATTTTTTCTATATTAATAGTTCATTTTTTGTGACGAAGGTCCTGACTTTTCTGAAATTCTTGTTTTTTGTGATAAAGTCATGTAGTTTCATTTGTCACTTTTCTTTCTTTAAGCAAATGTTAGCAGCAGAAGATCGCATCCAAAATGCCTCGTTTTGCTTTTGCACTCTTTTCAGAATCTAGATCATTCACTACAATTTGATCAACGATTTTAGTTATCGTTACCAAACTTTTACTAAGGAAATCTGTAGAAAAAGTTTTTGAGTTCTTTGTTTTCAGAATCACTATTTTTCAGTTCCAAATGGATTCCTTGTTCTGCCAGTTCTTGAAGGTCATCATTGGTAAGGCTCTCACCAGAAACCTGCTGTAACTCCTCAATATCCTGCTCATCTACATCTCCTAGTCCTACTGTATTGATTAGGTTGAGTTTGGTCAATCTAATGATGCAGCGATAGGGCTCTTCTTGTTGAGAATTCTTGGATACCTTCAGCCATAACTTCTTCCACATGCATTTATCAGTTAATTCTTGCCAATCGAAGTCAATATTGCCTATGGCATCCATGATATTATATTTTTTCCAAAATTTCACCAAACAAACATAGATTTAAAGAAAGTACACTTTTTTGCTGCCTTTTTCTGATTGGTTTGTGTTTGTAAATAATTGTATTATATACGAATCAATAAAATGCTGCGATAATTAAAATTGGCATAAATTTTGAGCTTTCTATTTTAGACTTTGAGCAGATGGCATTATATCAAATCAGTGTTAAGTAAGGCAGCATTAAGCAGGGTCTTACTGTATATTTACATTATTTATAACAAAACTTAAAAAGGAGAAGCAATCTTTTATGTTGGTTTTTGGCTATATTTAGCTTCTAATTTAATAAAATTTTTCCTGATTAGGCTTCATTTTTTGGCCAAAAATTATGGTGGGAAAATTAGATTTGTTGTTATGTTATCATTTATGTATAGTTTAGAATATGTTTGTATTAAATATCATAAAAAGAAAGCTATTTGATTCAGATAATAAAAAAGTTTATCTAAAAACATTTTCAGTTTAAATTTTCAGTAAAATTTATTTGTCAAGCATTTTTTTTTTTTTTTTGAAGTCATTTTATAATGAATTTACATTTCTTCTCATTAGAATAATAGTTTATTGTTCTGTTCTAAAAGATTGTAAATTGTGAAGTTTTTTGAAGATGTCCAAAGACTCAGTTCAAAAGCTTATAAACAAATTAAATGATGTAGAACAAAATTAAAGATACAGAGCATTTTTAAAATAACAACATTGATTGTAGATCAGTTTAGATCAAATGATTTATTGTTTAACAAATTCACAAATTTATCCATTAGTCGTGTCAGTTTTATGTTTAAAGATAAGATGTACAATATACATAGAACAGACATTTAAATTCTTATTCAAGATCATAGTTTTTTAATGTAGGTTTTACTTTAAAGACATTGCTCAAAAGAATTAAAGCTAATTTCTTTTTGTCTGATGAAGATTATTACTTGAATGCTTTTTTTTATCACAATGGGGTTTAGACATTAATACTATTGTTTTATAGGAAAAATTGTTTTTAATTATGAAATTTCAAGAATTTTTTTTCTCTAACTAATTACTTAATATATGTATATATNTTTGTCCCGAAATTGGGTCACTGACCACCCACATTCAGACGAAAGTTCCAGAAAGTATAGAAACAGAACAAAGAGAAAGGGGAATAGAATATTCTTATATATACATATATAAAATAAAAACAACAAAAATATACTGGTGTACCACCACAATAGCATGATTCATCACTCCATATGACTTTTCCCCAATCATTTGTGGTCCAGAAACATCATTGTTTACACCATTGGAGTTGCTGGCTTATGTTGAATCACAATATTTGGGGCTTATGGGTAGCACATCTGGTGTGATAACCACAGCTGTGCAACTCTTGCCAGACAGTTTTCTCACTGATTGATTGTTACAGCTGGACTTGCTGAAAGTTCTTTGGAAATTTCAGCAGTGGCTGACATGCTTTTATTTTTCACAATTTACATTAATGCCTTCCTCCCACGACCAATGAGTTTCCAAGGCCTTTCACATTAGTGTGCAGGTCCACATGCTCCAGTTTTTTTCCATTGGCAAATAATGTCTGTTATGCAAATTTTGGAAATTCCAGAAGCCTGAAAATGCTACATACAGACTGATTACTAAGATGGAATTCAACAATCATACAATATGAAAGTCAATGGGCTCTTTCCATGTAGCATATTGACAATACCTACTGTGCAAATATATGAAATATGCAAATGACCAGTAACCCCATCTGATCACAACTCAAGCAGAAGGAAACTTTTTGTGCATCTTTGTCAGGATATAAATAACACGTTTTTTTCCTCAGTGTGTCCAAATATTTTTGTCTACCTAGTGTATATATAGCACATACAAATTTATAATGATATAATCTAATTTATGGAGTTAATTAATATTAATAATGAAGAACATTTCATTTCACTGTTATGTTGAATCACTAATATTTAAATTTAGTGTTTATTTACAATATTAATGTTTACAATATTTACAATATTGTAAATTGTTATATTTACAAATATTTATTTTTTATAATTAGCATCAACAGTTAAATTCTCTAATTGGATTGCTTTTGGGTTCACTTAAATCTGGAGATCGTCAGAAGGTTATGACAATATGCACAATTGATGTTCATTCACGTGATGTTGTTGCAAAAATGATTGCTCACAAAGTAGAATCATCATCAGAATTTATGTGGCAGTCACAACTTCGTCATTACTGGAATGCTAAGAAGGCTGATTGCCAGGTTAACATCTGTGATGCTGAATTTCAGTATGCTTATGAGTATTTAGGAAATACAACACGACTTGTGATTACACCACTCACAGATAGGTAGGTAATCAAAGTATTAATCTTATAATAAGTATCATCCTGATTAATTTAAAGTATTTTTAAATTTTTGATGAAACAATTTATTTTTCAAACACATATATAAAATATCTAAAATATTTTTAAGAAATAGATTTCTTTATGGTCTTACTGTGCAGAAGTAAAATTTATTTGTCGAGCTTTTTTTTTTGAAGTCATTTTATAATGAATTTACATTTTTTCTCATTAGAATAATAGTTTATTGTTCTGTTCTAAAAGATTGTAAATTGTGAAGTTTTTTGAAGATGTCCAAAGACTCACATTCAAATGCTTTATAAGTTACAATGATTAGACAAATAAATAATGAAAATGATTTATAATGAATAAATCATTATAAAGCTCTATTCAATTCTTTATTCAAAATATTTTGTTTCTATTAAAAATAGTTTTTTTGTAATTACATTTTTGAATATCATGTTCTTTTTCTAGAATATTTTAAACTTTGTTTTATTGAAAATATTATTGAAGTTGTGGTGACTCCCATAGCATGTGTTGTGTGCGGAGTTGTACAAAACAAACCAAAGAAAGATGAATAGTTGGCATAACAGCATGGGATGTAAAAAAACAAGTTTATTTGGTGGTACTATACACATTTAATACAGATGATAATAAATTCAATCTCACAATGTCAGGTTGCATTATAAGTTTGACTTTCCTTTAAACTCTCTCTTATCTTTCCTCCACTATGTGAGGCCCCTTCGACACCTGACAGAAATACAGAAGAAAAAAAATACGAACGTTCACTCAAAGATGAAAAATCATAGTTTTTGACGATCCTGTAATTAGTCTTTCGTTCCTTTAGGTAGTGCAATTTTTCCCTTGTTCCTATTTCACTTTGATGGAGATGGATTCTTTAACAGTGCTGGATTTTCCCTTCTTTTGGGATGGTTGTTCTTCCGGACTTCTTTGCTGGTGACTTTTTACTCGAACTTCTTTGTTTCATGTCGACCTCAGTTGCCCCTTGGAGTTCCTACTAGCTACAGCATTCTCCAGTTACCTGAAAAAATGAAAGTCAGAGGAAAAAAAGATGCCTCACATGGATTACCACTGTATTTATATTCCCCTCCAACTGATATCACACCGTCCCACATGACCCTTCTTTGGGCCAATCTCCACACTTCATACCCCATCAGCAGAGGTGATATTGAGGAAGGAAACAGAGAGTGCAAAATAACAGGAAACAATACAACACAAATGAAAAAATAAATAAATAAATAAATAATAATAATACAAATTAGCCACAAAGCACTACAAAGTCGTCAAATTTTAATTGCTGGAGTAATTTAGAAGTTGTTTGATTTAGTTCTTCTGTAATTTATTTATTTCACAAAACTAACTGATGTACAGTCATATAGGACTATTATTTAAGATGTATATTGTGGCTGTATGCCATATTTATTGTAAATAATAATTTAAGTTTAGTTTAGTTTTTTCCTTTCTACCCTTTGTTCTATTGTTCTATTTCCTTTTAGAATTTTCTTATCTAATCCTTTTCTTTTGGGTGGGATGACCAGTTCCGAGAAATGAGAGGAACAAAGGAGATAACAGGATCCTGAGGACAAAAAGACAACAGGCACGCCATTCTTTGCCAGGACTGGGACATGTACAGACGTGGTGTAGAACGCTCCGAGTCGGACTGGAGTTATCGGGAAGAAGTTTAGAGAAAGGATTCTGTCTTAAGGATTGATGAGGCAGTGGAAATAAAATACTAAGCATAAGAAAAGAAGACAAGGACAGGATTTTATTGAAAAAGAAGACAACAGACCATTTATATAGGAATAACATGTGGCATCCCACCCAACAAATAGGCAGAGAGTAATATGCCGAAAGAACTCTGGGTATCTCTACTTCTACTCTATATTCTTTCATATATCCTCTTACATCTATCCTTTTCTGTTATTAGTAATAAGTTAGTATATAAGTTTAGTTTTAAGGTTCAGGATTGATCATATTGTTGTGATCAGGACCCCTCTATGTTTAGTGGATATACCAAACTATTATTTATGCCATAATTTTGTACTGTGACATTGGAATCCCTAATAAGAATATGTATTAAAATGCGAAATAGAAAATATATCATTTCATTGTTATTGTATCTTGTCTACCTTTGTGGTTAACTCTAATTTTGTGCAAACATCACAATATAATTATTTTTAGCTATCAAATTTCACTTCATAGTGATGAATTTAATCGATAAATTATTAGGATGATAATTATATTGTGTATTTCAATCATTAAAGTTCTCTGAAATGACTTCATTATTAGAAAGGAAATAGTTATCAGAAATTTATCAGTTTTTAAGATACAAATTCAAATAAGGTGTTTTATAATAACAATTATAGTTTGAATTGAATGTACAGAAAATGATAGGAGAGAAATAAAACTGAGATATGAATATATATGTATTTAGTAGTTTTGGGAAAAATTGTGATGACAGATTTATATGTGGCAGAAGATTTAAAAAATATATTTTCTGAAGATATTAAGATATTCTTAGAAGATATTAAGATATTCTTTGTCTATAGATATTCTTTGTTTATCTTCAGACTCTGATATCTTTAGATAATATCAGTTATGCTATAAGGCTATAAACAAAGAAAAAGCTGTTTGATGAGTTTGTAACTGCAATTTAAAATTGGTGTATAATCTGCTGATTGCATAACTTGCACCAACTTTCAAATTGTTCTTTAAATACTGATAACCTGCGAGTAATCCATATAAAATTACAGTACTTTTTAAAAATATTTTTATGCCTTATTTTGTTACATCAATTGTATCATGATAAAGATTGATTATATTAGAATAAATGGATAATTTAAGACGTTTTATGTTTAAGTTTATTAATATTTTCTTTTTCTTTTCTTTTTTAGGAATTTTATAAATATTAGTATACAGTTTATTTTAATTTTTTCATGGCATAATACTGACTTTTTTTATTTCATTATTTTTATGTTACAAAACTGAGATGTCAATTTTAAGTTCTTGATGATGTTTTTTAAATATTAAATTTTGTTTCTATAAGATAACAGTTTTTATTTGATACTTAAATTAGAATAATTCAGAAATGATATCATTTAATGCAAGAATTATTTTTATCTTATACAAGTATTAGTATGTGGTATTGTTTGTATTGAAATGAGAAATACATGAGGTATAATTTTCAAAAAACACAAAAAACTTTATTTTGTATTTTGAACAAAAATTTAGCAGGTTCCAACTCCAAGACAAGTCCCTTGTAATTCCCGTTGCTCACGATACAATTATATACAGAACCTCATGGTATAAAACTGGCTCCATCACAAATTTTATGTCCCAGAAATAACAAATGTAACAGTTTGTTTTTTACAAATGCAGGTCACATCCTTAAGCTAATCTTAACATACTTATGACTAAAATAATATGATATATGTACAGATAGAGGAAGGAAGAAGAGATCTAGGACAGGAGTACTCAATTGTCTTGAATGTTCCCTTTGCACATTGATTGGATTCAACTTTCTTCTCTCAGTTAATGTTCTCTTTCTCTCTCTCTCTCTCTCTCTCTGAACTTCTCTGTGATTTTGGGATATTCTCTCTGAAGACACCTCGAAGACACTTACGAAAATTGTCTCTCTGTGTGTTTCTAACTCGAACACCACTTCTTCACAATCTTGTCATCTGCTGAAAATGACCAAGAGTCCCTTCTCAACATGTCTGCTCTCCTCAGTGTCTACCCAAAAAGTGCTTAACTCACCCCTGCTTTTCCTTCAGGACCTTTCCTCTTTCTATTGTTTTTACTGCCCCATCCTATCAGGGAAGTGCTCCATCTGAATTTCTTGGAAAATGAAACAAAAGAAAAGCAAGAATAAAGGAAAGTGAAAGAAAGAAAAGAAAATATGATAAAATTCTATATACTATACAAATGATGTGGGAAACAGCCACAAGTACATTAGTATAATTTTCTGAATTATTTATTAATCCTTTACATTTATATAAAATTTTTATATGTTACTGTGAAAGACCGAAATTAGAGAATGTCGATATTCTCCGGTGAATGTCGACACATACAAAATATGTCAGTGAAAGACCGAATATTTGGTCATATTATTATACATTCGAACAATCGCTGGTGTATTTCAACAGGCACAGATAACCTTTAGTGGAGGTCGAAACGACATCCGAGAAGCCATTGTTGACAGAGAGGCGACAGTCTGTCGCCGAATCCTTTGCGTGTAACTGGAGGTCATACCTCTTTTACCGGCAACAGTTTAGTGGCAGCCACTTTGTCACTGGATGGCGTTTTCGTTCTTTTGATTCCGTGAGCTGGGGATCGGTTTGTCACGTCAAATGGCGAAGGATGAGAGTGGTCATCAGTAAGGCGTCCGCAATATCCGAATAAAAGACACCATTAACAGATCAGTTCGTAATTTGTAAAGAAAAGTTACTTTCCATAGATGAGATTTCTTCTCAATAAATATTGCTGAGAGAAGCAGCTGCAGCTAATTCGAAAAGTCATTGCAAAAAGAAGCAGCTGTAAATCAAGGGACTCTTGTGCAATTCAAAGTGCCATAACAGTTTAAGTTGTTGCAATAAATAAGATTGTATAACGTCAATCACATAATTTATGTGTAAGTTTATTATTGTATTATATTCTTTAATGATTTAGAATGTACTGTTCGTTTTAGGTTCAACAGTTTATTTACATGTGCTGTTACTTAAGCTTTCTCCTATTTTGACATATTAAAAAGTTGCATTTTTGTCTTAACGTAATAAAAATATTTTTATTCAACATTCACCATCAGTGCATGCTGAATGTCGACATTTGCCAGTGTAAGTGAGAAATAATGATATTTAGCAAATATTTTGTACATACACGAAACGACTGTGTGAATGCTGACATTCACCGGTGAATGTTGACATTCGCCAGATATCGGTCAATCACAGTAACATATATATGTATTATTAAATTAAATATAAAATACTATATTTAAAAGTGAATAAATTTGTTGTTTCAGATGTTATATTACTCTTACACAATCTTTACATTTGTTTATGGGAGGAGCACCAGCAGGTCCTGCAGGAACAGGAAAAACAGAAACAACTAAAGATCTTGGACGTGCACTTGGTTGTATGGTTTATGTATTTAATTGTTCAGAACAAATGGATTATAGATCATGTGGAAATATTTATAAAGGGCTAGCACAAACTGGAGCATGGGGCTGCTTTGATGAATTTAATCGTATATCTATAGAAGTTCTTTCAGTAGTTGCAGTACAGGTAGAATTTTGTTTTACTTGTAAAATATTTAATATTTGTTGATAGATATAACCAAGTGTAACATTGCAAATTTCAATGAGGAAGTTAATGAATTTTTATCAACTACTAACTTCCTATCAGCTGACACACATCTTCCCTAAGTCNACATATTAAAAAGTTGCATTTTTGTCTTAACGTAATAAAAATATTTTTATTCAACATTCACCATCAGTGCATGCTGAATGTCGACATTTGCCAGTGTAAGTGAGAAATAATGATATTTAGCAAATATTTTGTACATACACGAAACGACTGTGTGAATGCTGACATTCACCGGTGAATGTTGACATTCGCCAGATATCGGTCAATCACAGTAACATATATATGTATTATTAAATTAAATATAAAATACTATATTTAAAAGTGAATAAATTTGTTGTTTCAGATGTTATATTACTCTTACACAATCTTTACATTTGTTTATGGGAGGAGCACCAGCAGGTCCTGCAGGAACAGGAAAAACAGAAACAACTAAAGATCTTGGACGTGCACTTGGTTGTATGGTTTATGTATTTAATTGTTCAGAACAAATGGATTATAGATCATGTGGAAATATTTATAAAGGGCTAGCACAAACTGGAGCATGGGGCTGCTTTGATGAATTTAATCGTATATCTATAGAAGTTCTTTCAGTAGTTGCAGTACAGGTAGAATTTTGTTTTACTTGTAAAATATTTAATATTTGTTGATATTAAATTTTATTAAAGAATAAAATGAATTTCTGACAAGAAAGTTATTTTCATATCTCATAAGTATCTTATAAATGAAAATTTTTGTGATAATAGCATTCTCAAGTAAAATTTAAAAAGTTGTAAATTAGAATTTTTTCTGTGTAGAACATTTAATTTTTCAGTTAGTTACAATATTACTGAAGGTTTTTTTTATCATGAAATTATGTTAGTTAACAAATTATTTTAATTAATACCAACTACTTTTTAAGCATTGTAAAATTACATAACTCACTTTAAAATATATATATTTTTTAAATTAGAATTTAAAATTAAGACAACTCTATACAAATGTTAAAGATCATACCAAGTAAAGCAAAGTCTGTTAGTTCAATTTTTGAATATATGTAGTATATTCTAGTTATGTGGAAAATAAATAAAGAAGATATTTTTTGTTGCTTGCAGGACTTCCAAAACTTTAAAATATTCATTAAAATGAGTGAATTAACCTAAAAAGAAAGGTTGACATCATTAAAGTTCTTAATTTGTTTTTATTTTTCAACAGTTGTATGGATTAATTATCTTTATTAAATTTTAATTTAAACTTTTTATGTTATATTATGATATATTTTAAATTAGTTTATAAATATTTTGAGATAATTTCTAATTGATTTCAGATAGTTCTTAAATTAGAACATTCAAGCCAAATGATTTATTTAAACTATAGAATAATAAAATATAGCACTTTTAAGTTTAAGCAAACTTATCTTCTAAAGTACAGTTGACCCCCTATAACATGGTAGATACGTTCCGGTTTTTATGAATCCATCTTCTACGAGTCCAGCCAATCACAGCCCGGCATGTATGCAGTTTACAGACTATGGTTGTTTGAAAGGTTTCTTCCATAAAATTAATCAATTCTAGGCTAATTCGACTCAACATTTCCAAAATACATATAATTTTTTGGGAATAATCCATATAAACTATGATATAAACAAAAAGTTGTAGGATTACTTACCAAGTGTGCACCATTTGACTACGCCATGTGTGCACCATTCGACTACGATAAGCTTGTTTTTTTCGTGGAACTTGTCATTGAATGGTGCTCGCATGCTTCCTGATAAATTATTTTTTTTGCAAAAAAATTCACTGAACTTTGGAGACATCATTAATATAAATATAATTTTTATGGACATTAAATAATAAATGGTTTTTAGTAGGTCCGCTGCTCGTTTAAATTCAACAGTTTGTGCAATCCTGTCATGACATGAGTCGGCAATGACGTTTTACTGAATTATAGGAGTTTTTTTAGCATGTTTGTACGAATACTGTCACAATTTTTTTGCTGTGATATAGGAATCTGAACTATAGGAACTTGTGTTATAGGGGGGGTCGACTGTAAATCACTGTAAACTAAATCAAGCTCCTACATAGAATTTTTAAAACGAATGGGGATTTTAAAACAACACATTATTTTTTAAAACATTGCTTATTAATTTTTACAGTAGATATATATAGAGTAACATGATATAGTAGACTAAAGAACTGAATAGATACAAAATAAATGTAGTATTATGTAATAAATACAAAATGTTATTTACAATATATTGACATACAATGAAATAATTGGTCTATAATTTGATAATGGACAGCACGCTAATCATTTATTACAAAAACTTTTAACATATAAGCGTTAAATTAGACACCTATGTCACTAAATTGACGAGCGCTTTCGACGATATACACTTTCGTCTTCTTCAGGTCATTAGAACCTTTTTTGAATACAAAATTTTTAAAAACATTCCAATCTTAAATAGCAAATTTGGAAT